AATAACAAATTTTCTATAACTTACAGTTTGGCTGTTTCCAATTCAGTGCAGTACAAATTGCTGGATTAAATGATGAAAACATCACGGGTCGATTAGAAGGTGGTTTACCACTTCCGTTATTGGTCATGTGACTTTGCGCAGAATCGTATACAGTTTGAAGAATTGTATCTACGTAAGTATTGATATCGGGAATATCAGGGAACCGATATCGTGACATTTCAAACACGGTGGGATATTTTATCTCAAGATTGACTCCAATAGATGGTGGCAATTTCTAAGCAAGAAAAGAAAATAAAAATAAAAATCAATAAAATAAAATAAAAATAAATAAAATAAAATAAAAATCAATAAAATAAAATAAAAATAAATAAAATAAAATAAAAATTAAAAATTAATTTTGTTATTCTTCTAACCTTCAAGACTTCTTCTAACGAAAGATGTGCTTGGTGAATTATTTTTTGTAATTCTCCAGGGTTGGCTGCATTATTAAAATCAAGTTCCCCTTGTGATCTACGATTTAACGACTTAAATTGTTTAACTGTAACATCAGATACGCTCAGATCAAATTCATCTATTGACAACATCCATTCTGGATATACAACGGCAACCATATCTCTGGTCACTTGTACTACGACCTGGATATATTCACCAGATAGTGATGATCCAGTTATGAATGATGATATATTTCTATTATTAATACTTCCAGTATTTATCGAGGGTTGATCACTAACGGATCCGGGGAGTGATACTGTATTGGTAGATTTCCAATATGTTTCTACTTGCCCTCCAATTTCAAGTTGTACACCTTGAAATGGTTTCACAACTGCGAATTCAAATGATAATTCTCCAACAACTTTGAGATGTGTGTCGAATAAAGGACAAATACATTTTCCACCCGTCCCTTCGATAACCAAATGATTTCTTCTTTCTCGACTACTGGTAAAATTAAATACGTGTGGTAATGCAACTCCTTTACCAATAACTTTGGATCCAAAAGTAGGAAAGATATCAAATTCTAATGAAAATTTATTAAGGGTATCTGTTTGAAATGAAAAAACTTCTTTATCATCTCCCAATGGTAATATTATGTTATGAGGAATTATTCCTGTGTCTGGTTTGGAGGACATAATAAGTTTCAATGATGAAATTTGACTGTTTCCATATAGATGTACGGGAGGCCTTTGAGGTTTAGTTGATAGATGTCCAAGTGTTAATTGAATATGATATTTTTTATCCAAGTAACTATGTCCATAGATTCGAAGAGGTATGATTGGAGGTGGTAGCGACAACGAAGGTATCGAATCTATATTAGTTTCCATATTATTATCCATATCAATATCTCCTTCTACATGTCCATTTGTGATTATCAAATTTGATGGTTCATCTTTTATTTCAACACGTCCACCGGCTTCACGTAATTTATTAATGCATTCTATATGGCCTTCCCATGCCGCATAGTATATGGGTGAATGACCTGATTCGTCTGTTATATCTACTTGACAATTTGCTTGAATTAAGATATTGACGCATTCTATGTTTCCTTCACTTGCAGCATAGAAGATAGGTGTCCATCCTTTATATTTATCCGGTGTGTTTAATAGAGCGCCTCCCTGTTCCGTCAAAATTTTTAACAATTTATGATGTCCTTCACGGGATGTTAAATGTAAAGGGGAAAGACCCTCCGCATCTAATCTAATCTGTGCGCCTTTTTCTAGTAATAACATGGCAATGTCTTCATGACCATATTCACATGCCAAAGACAAGGGTATATGACTATGGCCATCTTCTCCTTGTGGTTCTATTCGAGCACCCGCTTTAAGTAAAATTTCTACACATTTTGTATGACCATTTGTGACAGCGTAAATTAAGGGACTAAATACATCATGATCCAAACTTTCACAATCAGCTTTCTGTGACAAAAGATATGTAGCAGCATCACTATGTCCGTACATACAAACATAATGTAAAGGCCTACGACCGTAGACATCAGAGCAATCTACTTTAGCACCTTTATCAACACAAAGTGTAATAAGCGGTAATCTCCCAACAATTGCTGCTTCGTGTAAACAAGTTCGGTCACTAATATCGTCAAAATACTTGAAATTAACCATATTAGTATTTACCAAACATTGTATGGAATCAATTGAAGAATTCTTTTCCGAACACACACGCCAAAATACTCGTGACAAAATATCTTTGTCCTCTTCAATTTGATGATGTAGAATTCTTCCTAAAATTTCCTGTACAGTTGATGTAGCATCTTTTATTATTGCCATAAAAAGCTCTGTTTCAAGATCATCCATGACATCAGGTTCAACAGTCGATTCTCCAACAGATAATCGACGGCCTGGAGAAGTCGAACGAGATGATGGAGTAGTGGTTAAACCTTGGGAGTGATTTTGGAGCTCCAGTAAAATATTATCAACGTTGTCTACCATGTAAAACATAAATTCTCTATTGAAACATGGTTGAATTTCAACCTGACGCGAAAGATAAAGTTCTTTTGTGCTAGATTTAGATCGTTTATCCCATTTTTTTAAAATTTTTCTGAAACCTGTAGCGTTTATCTCTACAAATTGCTAAAGTTAAATAGGATAATTATAAATAATTTGTGTATATTGAAAGGTTTGAAAAATAATAGAACGAGAAACTATAAAAAAAAAAAAAAAACATTTTCTCAAAAGTGTCTTTTTTCCCGCGAAATTTTATGTAACAATAAAATTTTACGTCATATATTAAATATATTAGAACTATTTATTTATTAAAATTGAATCGAGTTCCGAATAGAAAAATAACGTAAAAAATGTGTCTGGAATTATATGGAATTCATGCAGAATGATCAGGAGTGTGTGTACGCAGGAAAAAAAAGGAAAAGAAAAAGAAAAAAATACCATAAATAATTCCATACACATTTATTCGGAATTCGTTAGAATTTCCATGCGGAAAATGCGGGAAAATACGGAAAAATGACCGACATTTTTTTTTTTTTTTTTTTTTTTTGGATTATGAAATTACCTGTAACTTGTTTAAATCTTGTTGAAATTGTTGAAATGCTTCTGTCAAAGTTAATAAGGATGTAGAATTAGATGATAATTTTCTTTCACCACCTAATAAAATTCTTTTTTTATCGAGTAAGGTTCGTAATCTAACATTGAACTCTTTTTCTTTTTGCACGTAGAAAGAGTTGACCTAGAAGAGAAAAAAAAAGGTATTGTAAATAATTAATATGAGTGACGCTGAAAATTTTAAAATTGAAAAGTTGAAAATTGAAAACCTTTTCTAATTCACGTTCAAGTTTAAAAAAGAAAGCAGTCTTTTGCTGTTGTAAATGGTCAGCAGCTTGAGGATCATTATTTACATATGATCGAGTGCCAAGGGTAATAGTGATTGCAGGAGTTGGTGGTAAGGATCGTTCGTTATTTTTGTAAGCACTCGGTAAGCTATTTATGATTTTTTTCAATGCTTTATAATTAATGTAATGAGCAGCCCATTCTGTAGTTTGTTGGGTGAGAAGCTGCTTTCCGAACTGTCCGAATCATGATTAAATCGAAATTCTCCAATAAATTTCAATAATTTTTGTATAAAGAATAATTTAGGACTCTATTATTCGTACTATACAAGAGAAATGACTCTTTACCTTCATGATTTTATAAATGAAAGATCAAATATACCAAGCACAGAAATGCAAAGAACTTATATGCAAATTACACCGGGAAGATAAATAAAATAAGCCGCATAATTTACAAACATTTAATTTAGCACCTATTTCATAGTAATATCGGATTTACGAGTGGTGCTACGTTATACTTGTTATACTTGTTATACTTCGTTATTTCTATTTTCAAATGTTCTTTCATTTATCAAAGGCGCAACTTTGCATCCAATCATTGTACCATGTGCAAATTATGTTTTAGAATTATACGTTGGACGCTTCATTTCGTCATACGGTTTCATTACTTCGGGATCACCTGAACTTTCCTAAATTGGAACATTCTAATCGTGATCCAGGGGTCCTATGACCTGTTCGTTGAGAGGAATTAAAAAAATGTACATATCGATAACATGGTTTGATCTTTATTCATATGAGTATAGATTGTTTTGCATATATTAGTATATATGTTGTGCGTCAGATTAAAACTTGCGTCAGATTGAATCTGACGCACGTCAGATGATTATCAGTTGACCAGC